TTTAAATTGTTTCTATTAAATGTCTAAATCCTAGATTCTAAACTTTTTAAAGCAAGAGGAATTTTTCATGTCTCCATCTTTATATCTCAAAGTATTGATACATGCTTTTGGAGGAAAAAAAGGAAAGAAAAATAAGGGACAGATACAATGTTGTGTAATTTTATATTCCAAATATCATCAAGAAATTACATGATGCTGATGCTGTCATTTGGAATCTTTTAATACTTTAATTCTGAGAAAGAGGACTCAACTGTAGGGAAGCCATAAATTCATAATGTTCAAAGTCATATTTCAAACTAAACTCATTCCATCAGCAAGTTGCTTTATCTTGCATCCATACCCTTGCATTGATACCCTTCTTTTATGCTTGTCTCAGTTATTCAGGAGAAGTATATATATATTTTTGGTGTTGGAAATTGAACTCAGGGCCTAGTGCTTGCCAGGCAGGTACTGTACCACTGAGCTCTATCCCTGGTTGAGAGAAATCAATATTGATTTCATAAATTTTAATTAAAACAACTTCTTATCCTATAGGTTTTATGTTTGATTCTAAGAAAAAAATGACTTATAATTAATCCCTGAACATATACAGATAGTTTTTACAGATGTCAAAACTAGCAAACAACCAAAGCCATAATGTAAATTTAAGTTCTACACTGAACAACACAATGTATGGATATTTAAAGAGAAATATTTACTTTTTTATAGTTTGGAAATAACTTCAGAGAATAAATTTTATGTTTATATTTTAATTTAAATTCATTGAGCCCAAATACTGTGTGATCTATTGAAGCAATATTTTATTTTTATCTTCTTAGTCTGACCATAGAATTTCTCTAAATAATGCATGATGTGATTTAAAATTAGTCCAATTGAGGAACTGAATAACTATCAAGGCTTTTATATACTAAGTTCTCATTCTTAATAAAAAGCTTACTCTATCTAAAGCTTTTCTTGAAGTATTAAATAATGTGTAATTTTACACCTCAAACATTGATATCCACAAGCTATCAAATATTAAAAATTCACAGATAAAGCGAGATAAAGAAATTCAGGTCAAAAATTTGATTGAAAAATCATCAACTGGTCTCTAATCGATTTTGGGTACTGTTTACTCAAACTCAATGAGGAAGAGATATTTGGACTTTTTAAAGATCTTTTTCCTAGAGTCAAGACTATTTTTTCCTCTCATTCTCTTTGATTGTACACTGCTTCTCAAAATCATAAGCTTAAAACTACAGTCCATGTGTCATTTTAATGCTTTTTCTGGTTACTCAGGTGGTCCACAGCTAAATGGGATAGAAAAATGCATCCACTTCTTCTGGGCAGTGCATTTAAAAACGGGCGTCACTCTGGATGAACAGAACCCCTGCGCTGTGTAAAAGAAAACTCGATCTTGGCGAAGTGCTTTTGGGGGCTTAACCTTACGCTTGATTTGTGCCCTTAGGGGCTTGAGAATTAATTTCGGAGAAAGAAAAGACCTACGCTTGCAGGGCAGCCATTTCTCCTCTTTTTTGAGAGGCCTGCTGACTCAAGGTTTTGTTATCTTTCTACCTTGCCTTCCCTGAAATGTGTCTCCCTGCTGTTCTTCTGTTTCTCTATTCCAGAGTCTGTGCTGTCTTACTTGTTGGCAGCTAAATGGAATTTATTACAGTCTTATTTCTCGGAGCAATTTAAAAACATGATTGTTGTACATCTCTTATAACCAAAGCGTTGAAAGTAAAAAAAATAGGAAAGAGAAGTAAGCGAAGTCGACGTTTTCCTGAGTCAGAGTAAAAAATACCTTCAGGCCTGAAATCAAAGAAGCCTACAGTTGAAGACCAAGTTATCAGAATTGGCAGAATTACATCTAAGAATAAAACACCAAACATGTATATTTATGTGTATATATATATATATATATATATATATATATATATATATATATCATCCTCATTCCAGCTCTAGGGAACTTGAACTTCAAATCTAGTATTCTTTTTTTCACTTAGTTCTCTTCAACCTGGATAACTCCTAGTTATTTTTCTGCTTTCACCCAGATACTATTTTCATTTCACCAGTGAAGTCCTTTATAGCCACCCATAGTTAGCTCCTTATTGGCAATCATTAGCCATACTTGCTCTTTCCTTAATTACTTGTTTTGTTACCTTTAAATATCATGAAATTTGAGAGCTCTTGAAGTCAGTGCAATATTTTATCTACTCAGTGTCTAGTATACAACTGTATATAAGTAAAAATGTTTAAATTAATAGATGAATACTCTATGCATTGTGAAATATACAGAATTATATGAGAAATTTATTTGTTATGTTTTGGTGCAAATAGAATTAATAAAGTAATTGTAGAACAATTTGAATACAAATTTCATTGCCTCAGGTGATTGAAAAATAGGCCCTATAGATTTGTATGTGTTTGTGTATTTGTTCAACTGTGGAAGGATTTCAGATGTGTGAAGTCATTGGTCCAAAACAGTATTAGAGGAATCTTTATGGAAAAGGTAGGATTGAATTCAAAATTAAAAGATGGGAAAAATTTGGATAATAGAATGTCTTTAGAAAAGCCCTAGATATTGTCATGTTATAGTGTTTCTTCCTACTAAACACTGGAGAGAAGGTAGAATCAAATCAATGCATTTAAGCCCCCAAAAGCCAATTGGCATCAACTGAAAAAAATGCAGTGTAGATAAAGTAGGCATTTCATAAAAACATTACCATAAAGATTATTACAAATGGAAAAAATCAGTGTGCAGAGAAAAAGATTTTGTCCACATTACTGGTAGGAAGAAGGTTACATTTAAAATGTAGTTTAAAATCACCCACCCTGATCACAACTGCATGCAAAGATTATGATGTTAGACTTTAGAATATTGAAATATGAAACAGCCTATGTTTCTTTATTCCTTAAAGTTTTGAAAATAGTTTTGAGACAAACATTGTTTGCTAGGTGCACTCTGAGGATTACCCAAAACAAAGCTATATTCATTTCAAATCATTGTATTTCTGTGATAATAACTAAATAGTACAGTTTTTTACTGAGCTATTTAAATTTTGTAATTCTTTAATCAATTTACTTAATTTTATCAGTCTGCTAATTAACAATACCTTCTTTACTTAATTATCAAATTTATGGTCTAATAATATAAATTAATTATGAGCTGCAACTCCTCATTTACTGAATTAAAACCAGTAGTGAGAATCTAAATTTTCTTAGTAGGGGTTCCTAGTGTAAACAACATTCACTTTTGCTTTGACCTAAATATAATGGCATTATTTTGAAAATGTATCTAATACAGTTGTTTTTAAGAGGTAGCTCCATAGTTTGCAATGTAGCTTTGCTAATATAAAATGTAAAAACTTCAGGATAAATTGATAATTGTTAAAACTAAAAAATTCTTCACAATACTGTCATTCTAAATATAGTTTTATATTCCAGCTCCACTTAGTAGTCTACATTCTTAATGATTTGTTCCAACACATAGAGCTTCTACTTAAATTTTAAATTACTTCTCAGCTCAGATTTAAATGGTTGCTAGTATGGCATAAGTTGGGTTACAAAGACCTCAAAACAGTTACCAATTAACCTATGAAAGCAGCCAACATTTGAACAGATAACAGCTAACAATTGCGGTCAACATAGCCTTGTTTCTGAAAGATTATAATCAGAGAAACTGAGCTGCATTTTACCCTAAAGTAGAAGAGCAATTACATTATCACTGTGACATTTCTCAGTGGATGCGTCTTCTAGGGTAACTGAAATAGCAGCATCCACAGAGGTATTATCACTGAAGACTACCTTGGTGTCCTCTAGTCTGTAGGGGACTCATTCCTTGTCCTATTTGCTGGTCTCTGACTTCTTCGCCTGAGAGTGCTTAGATGAGCTATGGAACAAGTGAACTCCATCACTGGTCCTCAGTTGAGGAGGTGGGCTAGACTGGGAGGCATCAAGCCAAGCATGGAAATAGAAAGTGAGACTGTTAGCCATCATTGGGGTGGTAAACATCGCAGCACTGCTAAGATAATCGAATACAATAGCACCTCATAACCACCAGGGATGGTTCTAGGACCCATGGGATAGTAACCCACGGGATACTCAGTTGCTCAAGTCTCTTGTATAAAATGGCATACTATTTGCTGATAATCTATGGACATCTCCCCATATACTTTAAATCGTCTTTGGCTACTTATAATATCTAATACAATAAAAGTAACTGTGTAAAATGTTTATTATACTACATTGTTTTGGAAATCATGACAAGAAAAATAGATCTGTAAGTGTTCAGTACAGATGCAATTTTATTTTATTTTATTTTATTTTTCTTTTGCAGTACCAGGGATCAAACTCATGACCTTGCGCTTGCCAGGCAGGCATTTATGCCACTGAACTATATCCCCAGCCCTAGATGCAATTTTAAAAACAGTGTTTTTGATTTGTGGTTGATTGAGGATTCAGAACCTGCAAATAGAGAAGGATGACTGTATGTATAGCTTTTTCATGAAGGATATCTGCTTGATGAAGAATTTTGAACTTTTTACAGAATTGATTATATACTGGACACTAAACCATCATTCATATGGTCCCTTTTCAGTATATCTTTAGGTCTCAACCATTGAGAGTTGTTGTAACTTCTTTATCTTTAATTGAAAAGGCATGATTAAAACACACCATACACACTCAATATAATTGAAGCAAACAGATATGCCCCTCCCATATTATGCAGCTAGTGAGCAATGTATGAACCGATTAAACCACTCAGTATATCAGTTAGTATAGATTGGTTGCAAATTCTGAATACGTTAGAAGAGTTGCCTCTTCAACAGACTGAACAGCTGTCTTTTTTCTCTAAAATGTTTTTCTTCTACTGTTCTATAAATTCTTCAATTAATTTTAAGTTTTAGTGATTCTTTTAGTTATAAATGATACTAAGAAACTTCTAGTGGAAGGAATAATATTGTTACTTTAAGCATTTAGCTAACTATAATTATAAACATAATATTATTTTCAAGTGTTCAAGTCCAAAGGTGTGGAGAAGATCTGATGGTAAAATAGTTGAGATGGCTACGCAGTTCACAGTCAGAGCCAGAGAACTGCAAAACATCTATAAATGCATCAAGCTGCAAAATATCTCGCAAGATGAGCGATTGGATATACTCTTAACACTTAAGCACACTGTGAAGGTATGTTAAGTTTCTCTTAGAGTTGGGGTAGAGTTCACTATCAGTAAAAAATTAGTTGAATATTGAAACAAGCATAAAGATTATTAATGTGATTATCTATATGTTTTTCATATAGACAGCTATATTGTTTTGTTTGGGAAAAAGTAAGCTTATGAATTCATATTCACCTGAAAAATTCATAATAATATGATGAAAAACAATAAAATGTAAACACAGAATAATGAATATTTAAATATGTAGATATATCTTTATGCAATGTATGCAAATATATGCAGATATACAGCATGACATTAATAGTTATTTCAGTAAGACAGCAATAATTATCTACATTATGTGCATTTTGGATATTTTTTAATGAAGAAATATGTTTAGCAGCTTTAAAACTGTTTGTATTTGTTTTTTGCATCCATTTTTGATTTTCTATATCTTTAATCCTGCTTTGAATAATTAATGGATATCAGACACAGGTCAAGTTCCCTAAGGAAACAAACTGAAGTGGGGGTTTCTGTTCAGGAATTTCACTGCAGAGTGCTCTCGGGGTAACTCCTGTGAGGCAGGACAATAACGAGATGGAGAAATTCAGTTACAGTGGAGTGTCAGCAATGACTTCAGCCAGTCTCACGGAAACTCCGCAGCGGGGCAGGGCGCCCTTGAAAGTTGTCCTGAGTTGAGGCAAGGGATGGAGAAGGCTCCCACATGGAGCTTTTATTGGATGTGAGCTGACCTTGGAGAAGAAGTGTAACTTTGGAAAAGCATCTCTCTTCCTTAGTGGTCCTCAGAAAGGAACTCATTGAGAGCTGACAGGAGAATAGGAGCTTCCAGTTTGGATATAGTATACACTACACATACTGCTTCTTGGATCCATCTACTTCAAGTGATCCACAAGTTTTTGGGAGCATTTTCTCTGATTTGGATAGGCTCTTTTTCGTGGAGAAAATTTTAGGAGCAAGGTTAATGACAAAAACTACAGCTCCAACTGTAGTCATTGACTTTAAAGTCACAGAAAATACTCCTGTTTCTTCTGCCGTCTATTTTAGATTTCCTTCACCCTCAACTAGCACCTCTACTGATCTGGATGACCTACCATTTAGGAATGACCTGTACCTTTAGCACTGTGTAGGTCACTGCTCCTCTCAGGCTGGGGTTACTGGACTTCCATTGTAAAACTCAGGTAATCAAGAAAAGCCAGTATCTGAGTACATTCTTCCCACCCCACTGGATAATAACAGCCTCAACTGTTGGAAGGTCAGGGTCAGTTCCCTCCAGGTCTTGTGGCCCAGAGAACGGAAGTATAAAAGGACTCTTGCTGTGTCCTCCCTTAGAAACATTTTTCTCTCCAGAAACTAGAACCCCTAAACTTCATCCTCCAAGAGTTTTAGGGAAGGTAACAAAAATTCTCCAAGTAGCAGGTTGAGCCATTTCTGTATCCATCTCCTTTGTTCTTAGGGCTGGGTGGCTTCAAAGCCTTCCACATGGTCCTTTGCATCAATGTTAGCTTTTAACCCAGAGGTCAAGAAATCAAGAGTGCAGAGTCTGTGCCAACTACAAGTATTCTATTCCAATTACTTATCAAAGGACCAGAGAAATGAGCACTTGTTGTCTCAGTGAATCCAGTGTATAGATTATGAGCTGAACCGGGCCAGCTCTCCATTTATTTTCTGTTCCCACCTACTCCTAACTCTCATAGGGTCCTGAACCTTTATTCCTGCACATTGATTAGTCATTTGATTCAGGATGCTCAGAGAAAAAAAGCACGGCCTTTGATGAGGCAATTTCCTTCACTAAGATGGCTCTTTTCCGCGGTGTGCATCCCCAGAGAAGGCTCAGTGGAGAGTTGTCCTGCCTCCTTCGAGGTGTGGGGATGATCTGGGAAGCACACTTCAGCATTTGATGCATTGTGTATGTTTTTAATACTCATACAAGAGAAAACTCCAGTTTCACTGGAACCAGTGGTGCATGTCTTAGTTACTTTCTCATTGCTGGGACAAAATGCCCATCACCCACAAGTTAACGGAGGAGAGGTTTATTTCGGCTCACAGTTTGTATGAATTTCAGTCCGTAGTTGGCTGGCTCCAGGCAAGGCAGCATGCAGAAGAGAAAGAGCTCATGGCAAGGCAGGCAGGAAGCTGCAACAATCAAGGGAGGAAGAGGGATATATACATCCATCTATCTCCAGGCCGTGCCCCTGGTGACCCACCTGTTCTCACCAGACCTCTCCTCCCAACATCACACCCAGCTATAAACCCATCAGTGGGCTGATCCAGTCCATGACCCAATCACCTTCCCAAAGCCCCACCTATGAGTGCTTGAGGCCTTGGGGGCCACCCAGATATAAACCATAACAATGTCCTTGGTTTTTATAGCTCAAATGGAAGGTAATGGCAGACACATGTTATTGTCAATGTAAATTAATTAAATGAGCAATTCAACTAAAGATACTTGGTTTCTGAATTGTTCTTTTGAGTTCTTGAAGATAATAAGACACTTGACAGCTGCTCTGTTCAATTTTTGATAGATATATCAGTTTTGAAAGGAGCATTTGTACTGACTAAAGTTTTTACATGAGCAATGGATGAGATAACTGTGTGGCCATCTTGATCATCAGTATGACCCAAATTGCTAGGGCATACAATAGTACAGACATCCTAGTGATAATCAGTGGCTCACTAAAATAACTTGGGGGGAAAAAGCCAAATTTAGGATGGTCTAAGTAAGGTACAAGATGATAAGCCTGAGAATTATACAAGCATGAATTTCAGATATACCCTATGTATTCTTTGCCCCTTAACTACAAAGAGCTCTCATTCTGTTGAGAAAAACAAGACTAAACATGTAAATTTCTTTATTTTGAGACAAGGTCTTGCTATGTAGTTCAGGCTGGCCTTGAATTTACTGTGTAGTCAAGGCTGGCTTTGAACTCGCAGCAATCCTTTTGCCTCAGCCTTCCAAGTACTGAGATTACAGATATGTACCACTCACGGCCAGCTGCAAATCTCTTAAGACAAATTAAATAGCTGGGTAAACAGTTCTAATTGGGAGACAAGTTTTCACAGATATTTTGCATTTCTGCCTGTCCTGAGAACAGAGGCCCTGATGGCTTTTATTCTGGACTACTTTTTCACAGGTGTTTTGTTGTGACCAACCTTGACACACGAAGCTGTTAGAGAGGAAGAAACAATAGGGCCAGAGCTAGGAAATGAGCGTATTGTATGTAGAGGGCAACAAAAAACCCAGCTTGGTCAGAAGGGAGTGCAGACATAAATATGACAAACAGCTAGATAATTTAAAAAGCAAAGGATGGACCCAAAAGATAATCCATGCACATAAATAATCTACAGTATTTAAATATACACTTATATAATTATTTTGATAGAGGTTTAAGATATTTAAGTATGACTCAAATTCTGACTCCATGCATTTATGTCTATATAACCTTAAATAAATTATTTAATATTTCTGCAAATCAGTTTCACTATGTATAAAATTATTCACTGTGCCTCCTAAGGAGGATGCTCTCTGTAAATAATATTCTGATGACAGTTAGACTAGTGCATGTTTAACCTGGGTACACATTAGAAACCCCTTGAGAACAAGGGGGGAATGATAGGAGAATAAATAGGAATGCTGTCTAGGTCTCATTTTGGAGCAACTAAATTGGATCTTCAACTTTAAAGGAAACATTAAAATTGCCACATCTTTCTAAAATTCCTCCAAGGCGAGGGAGCAGAGAGGCAGACTTGTGCTAACTTTACCAAGTACTAAAGAGTGTGGCAGAGCCTTATTCTGTCATCATTGCTACCGTCTAACTCCCATCAACCGTGCACCATCTACTTCTTTGGGAAGTCAGAGGGATTGTGTTTTACTACTAGTAAATAAATACCCGTACTGCCTTAATCCCTTAACTTATACTGGCTGCTTTCTTAGTCAAACATGCTCATTTTTAATCTTTATTAAAAGTGTTAGGAACTACAATAAACACACACAAAATATACAGCTCAGCAAATACTGAACCGGTCAGTGAGAACATTTGCTGTGTGCCCCTCTCCCACTTTGGCAAAGCCTTTCTCACCTGGGAGAGGTAATGACCCTGCTAACTCTCATGGGAGTCACTTCATTAATTTTCCTCCATAGTGTTATTACTTCTGTAAAAATCTCTAGATAATATAGTTTAGTATTATTTACTTTTAAATTGTGTTTAGTGAAATTATAGTGCTGTGTTGTTGTCTGCCTTACTAATTTTTTTTCCATAATTACTGTGTAATATTTAAACATGTTATTAGTATGTAGCTATAGTTCTTTTTTTTTTTTTGGTTTTTCTCTGGTACCGGGAACCGAACTCAAGACCTTGTGCTTGCCAGGCAGGCGCTTTGCCGCTGAGCTAAATCCCCAGCCCCTGTAGCTATAGTTCTTTTTACGTGGAATTGGGGATTGAACTCAGGAACTCTGCATTGAGGTACATTATCAGCCCCTTTTACTTTTTTATTTTTTGAGACAGGGTCTCATTATATAGTTCAGGCTGGCCTTCAGCTCACTATGTAGCTCAGACTGGCTTCAAACTTCCAGTGATCTTCCTGCTTTAGCCTCCCAAGTACTGGGATTACAGGTGTGTGCCAACAGCTTTGGCTAATTTTTGTTTTTGAAAACAGAGTCCTACTATAAATTGCCCAGGCTGGGTTCAGTCTTCCAATCCTCTTGCCTCAGCTTCCCAGAGTGCTGAAATTACTGATGTGCTCCACTACATCTGGCTAGTTCATTCATTTGTATGCCTTAGATAATATTCTACTGAATGAATAACATATAATTTATTTATAGGTTATCATTCATTTGATCATTTTTAATTGGTTGTTTCAACGTTTGGCTACTGTGAAAATAGCTGTACCTGCACACTTGTCTAACACACACACAAGTGGAATTTCTGGGTCATAGGTTATGCATATTAATTATTATTAGATAATGCTATTGTCTCCAAATTATTTCTACCAATTTATATCCCTGTTGGAACTGTTTCATTTCTCTTGGAATGTAGCTTCTGGTCTGTTTGGGTGGTAATTTCAAAAATGAACTTAATGATTTTTAAAATTTTATTTTAAACACTTTTGTGCTTTGTATAGGAGCATGAGTGTGAACTGACCCAGGAAATCCTAGAGTTGATTGACAGAGAAGTTGATCTTATGATGAGAGGGGTCAAACCTGAGAACCTTGAAGGACTCAGAAAAAGAATCGCAACGCTCTTTTTTCATTATATCAAAACACCTCTATTTAACCCGGAGGCTGCTAGATACCTTAAGGTACGCTACTTTTGCTCCTATATTCTTTTTTCCTAGGAACCCTAGGATGTAATATATTAAACTGAAATATCTTTAAGTTTTGCTTTAACATTTTACTTGGAATCTACATGGAAAACTGTCTTACTTGTAAAATCTGCTTTGGATAATTATTATGTTGACTAAGTACTCGTTTAACTTCTATGTCTTTTGCTATGCTTGAATTCTTTCCTGACACCGGAACCAACTTCCCAGTTCATCCTATGCTAAGAGAGTGCATTGTGACCTGGCACACTCCCATGCCTATGTGTATACTTCTGTTTCCACCTGAAATGCCATCCTCCTCCTTACCTAGCAAACTCTTACTTAGATTTTTAAATGCTCAGTTCTCACGTTTATCACTTCATTAGTCCTCAGAGAAAGTTAAAATGTTCACCTCCAAGGTTGTGCATTGCCCTTCATTTCTCTTCTTTGTTCTACTTATGGTCATAATTATTGGTGAACAGACCCACGTAGATATTCTGAGAGAAATCCACGTGTAATTTGTATTTGAATTAAAGTACCTTCTCCAACTTGCTTAGGCTTTTGGGGGATTTTGCTCTCTAAAGCCAAGATAAGTCCTCATTGCTTTTTTTAATTTTAAAGATAAAAGAATAAACATGTGTAAATACCATATTGTCTCACTAGTATAAGAACCTGAAAGAGTAAAGAAAATCTAAAAGGTACATTAGATATTGTGAAAGGGAAAGAAACTGCTCAAAAGAAAAGAACAACTGGGATGAGGGAAAAGAGAAAACAAAGAAAGAAGGGAAAATATGTATACACAGGAGAGCTGAGATAGTTGTACTACTGATTTCTATTGCTTTAATGAAAGGAACAGTTAATATTCAATTGTTTGATCAATCTTACATGCCTGTATTTGTTTAACTGAATAACTCATTGCTTTCCGACTGTGCAAAACTTTTGAAAATACTTTTAGTAAATCTGAAAGGGGGAGAAGATTTCTAAAGAATTATATGTTTTTCTTTATTTCAACAGTTATTTTTAGAGTTATAATTGAAGAAGCTGACTAAAACTCCTTGGCTTTTTGACAAAACAAAATCCACTAACCTTTAAAAAATGTTAAATTTTTATATATTTTTTAATTGATTTTGAAAACTTCATTGCATTGTCAAAAGCATACTAAGTTGTAGATAACAAAATCCCAAGTGAAAAGTTACCCACTGTATTTTATTTTAGCCAGTGCTTCATCTGTCTAAGTGAACTTCTAGCCCTTCTCTATAGATGTATTCAGTTTATATACATTTGCAGTAGTGTAAGAGTGAATTTCACATGCTGTGCTTTTGCATAATGTTATAGCATCCTAATCGCTTTTTAAATTTACCTTTGCTAAAATCCCCTCTTTTTTGGTGAGTTTTGACAAATGACAACAGCACAATCAAGACAAAAATAGTCCAGTGACCTTAGAATTTACTTATGTTTCCACTTCGAAGCCAGTCCTTTCCCTGACCTCTGCTTTTCACAAACACTGATTTGCACTTCGCTTCTGTAGTTGTATCTGTTCAAGGATATCTGTCATGCTTTAAATCTAAAATGTCTGCCAAGGTCTCATGTGTTCAGAGCTGGGGCTTTGGGAAGGTGGCAGGATAATGAGGGAACTACCTTCGTCAGTGGATTACGCTACTGGTGAGTTCACAGCTAAATTCCCAGGAGGAGATGAGGCCCAGCCGAAAAGCATAGGTCACTGGGTATGTGACCAGGAAGGCCGTGCTCCTGTTCCTGGCTCCTCCTCTTCTCTTTCTCTCTGCGTCCAGCTTTCTTGGGTGGAGTCGCTTTCCTCCACTGCACCTTTCCATCTTGCCACTTCTGCCTTGAGCCAGATTACCATGAACTGAAGCTTCTGAAACCATGAGCCAAAATAAGCATCCTCTTCTTTTAAGCCAAAGGTGTCAGGTATTTTGTCCCAGAGAGTAGAGAACTGCTAATGTGCTGTCATATAAATAGAGTAATATAGGTAGGCTTTGGGAATGACTTCTTTCACTCAGCAGGTTGCATTTAAGACTCACCATTGACTTTTACTGTGTCAGTAGTTTGTTATAACTTAGCAACCTTTTTATTATCTGGACTGTGCAAGAAATTTATTTTTATTCTTTCACAGTTGCATGTTTAGAAGTTTGAGTGTTTAAAATTTGAGGCTTTCATGAATAAAGTTACAATATACATTTGTTATGAGTTTTGGGTGAACTGATTGGGATTAAATACATAAGAAACTGTATTTCTGATGCAATAATAAATGTATATTTCCATTTATAAGAGACTGCTAAACTGATTTTTCAAACTAGCAGTACCAGATTGCATCATTACCTGCAATCTAAGAGAGTGCCAACTGTTTTGTGTCCTTGTAAGTACTTGGCATTATCAGTTTTTAACTTTGGAAATTCTTACACAGTGTGTAGTGGGGTCCTATTATATTTACTGTGTATTTCTCCAATTAGTAATATTGAGCATCTCTTCATGTACATTTTTGCCATGTATATTTTTGATGAAGTTTTTCACCTACCTTTTTCTACTATCCAATTTGTTGGTTGGCTTATTTTGTCATTATAAAATTTTGAGAATCTTAAAAGTTCTGCACGTAGATTCTAAAATTTTATCAATTTTATTGGTACATTCTAGATATGCATGATGATAACATTCATCATAAGAAGTTTGTACTTGTACATGATATATCTTGATTCTTCTTTTCTTCCCAATCCCTTCTTGTGTGTAAGTCCTTTATCAGAAATATGATATGAAAATGCTTTCTTTCAGTTTATGGCTTGTCTTCATTCTATTAATAGTATTTTTTTTTTTTTTTTGTCTTTTTGAGACAGGGTCTCACTATGCAGTTCAGGCTGGCCTTGAGCTTAGTTTGTAGCCCAGGCTGCTCTCAAACTGTCAACGATCCTCTTGCCTCAGCCTCCCTAGTGCTGGGATTACAGGCATGTGCCACCATGCCCAGCTTATTAATAGTATTTTTAACAGGGTAGAAGTTTTCGATTTTGAAGAAGCCAAATTTATTTTCTAGAAAGATCGTAGTTTTAATTTTGTATTTAAGAAATCTACCTAGCCTCAGGCACAAAAATTTTATCCTACATTTCATCCAAGAAATTTGTCATTTTACATTTTATAATTAGGCCTACAGTTCATTCTGTTATTTTTATAATTTACAAAAGATTAATGAAATATTTTTGGTTTTGTTTCACACATTATTCTGGTATAATTCTTTTTATTTTGAAGATTAATATATAATTTTATGCAAAGATTATTCTTCCCTGAATTGTCTTGGCCCCTTTGTCAAATATAATTGGTTACTTTCTTCCACTCTGACCAAGAACTCTTAACTTGGAGTTAGCCACGCTACCTGAAGGACAAACAATGGTTTGTGAGACACAGAAGACAGTGATCCCTGAAAGGCAGGAACAAATGGAGCAAGCCTGTAATTGTCCCCTCTCAGTACCTTGAAAGACTCTTGACAGTACAGCATAAGGAAAGAGAACAGGCTAAGACTGGAGAATTCCTAGAGTTGAAGAGAAAAACCAGGCTTCCTGTTGGTCCTTGAGACCAATGCAGCTAGTGTTTTTACAGCATAATAGAAATGAGAAGATTGCACAGAGAAAGAATCTTGGAGAACTGCAGTACCTCTTTCAGGTATTCAGCTGAGTTCTGACCGTGCACGAATATGAGGAAACCGCTTAAGGGCAGGAAAGGAATATCTTCAGGTATCAGTTTTAAGCATCACATGGAGATGATTTCACAGTACCAGTTCCCCAGAGAGAAAACCTCATAGTTCGGAGTGTGAAGTAGGCACCAGAAAGGGATTGACTCGGTATTGGAGAATAGTTTTCCCTAACTTGAGAGCTGCTTTATTCTTTCTTTAAAAACCTTAAGCAAGATTAAAAAAGCAAACTGTTTACAAGTAATTCAACTGTGTCTCTGTGAAATGTTTATGACTATGTATACAAATAAAAAATCCACAATTCAGCACAGTAAGAATTACAGTAATAACATCCAACAGGAAATTGTTACACATACAAATAAAATGTGATCCAAAATAAGTACCTAAAGGAGTACTCACAAGTGGCCTCAAACTGACCCCAGAGTTAGAATTAGCAAGCCCAGCACATTTATCAGTTACTGAAACTAGTATTATGTTCAAAAATTAAAGTATGGAATATATTTTTATTTTTATTTTTTTTTATTTTTTGATACCAGGAATCAAACTCAGGACCTTGTGCTTGCCAGGCAGGCACTTGTACTGCTGAGCTATATTCCTGGCCCTAGAATATATTTTTAAAACTAGAGCAGAAAACTGTAACATATGAGATGAAGAGCACATCAGATTAAATTAAGAGCAGATTAGATGTAGAAGAAAAGCTTGCTGAACTAGAAGACAGCAACAGAAAGTATTCAAAATGAAGAACATGGAGAAAGAAGAATAAAAAAGAGAACATCACTAAGCTTTGGGATAAGTTCAACCAAACTAATATATGTATGATCAGCCTACTTCCCAATTTGTCCTGTTTGTTCTGTTCCCATTTTATGACTCTGCTCTCCTCTGAGTGGGTTGATAACTAACCAAGTGGAAGGAGTGAAGAGTGAGGTCAACTACCACGTAAGTGAACTTTAAGTGGCTTCTCTTAAAATGGAGTTAAAAACAGAAAATGGAGTCTCTCTTGCCCTGTCAGGAGTACTTATCATTTGGGTGATATTTGAAGCTGCTGGAGTACAAAGTAGAATGGCAAAATTGGATTTTACTTTTCATTTCAAACAGGATAGAAAGAAAAATTGCAACAATGTGAGAGCTCTTAGAGACAGGAACAATGGAAATGTGGTCAATAACAGCTGATAACAAAGAGCAGCAGATACGCAGTCATCAATTCTATACCATGTTGCTACAAACATACTCTGGCATACCATCACAAAGATACTCTCACTCATTAATAGTTGGTCAAGTTATGTTTTGTATGCTCTATAAAGAAAGGAAGTTTATAACATTTTATTAAGATTTTTATCAAACAAAGCAAATTGTTTTGGTTTAAGATGAGATAAGTTTTAGTTGGAAATTGCCAAAAGGAAACTTCTCATTTGTCAAAGTTAGTTATGTTGTTATTTCTTTTTGTTTGCTTTTTTGTCTTTTTGAGACAGGGTCTCATTATGCAGTTCAGGCCAGCCTTGAGCTCACTTTGTAGCCCAGGCTGGTCTGGAACTCACAACGATCCTCCTGCCTCTGCTTCCTGAGTGCTGGGATTACAGGCGTGCACCACCACACCCGGCAGTTATGTTGTTATTTAAAGAAAATGTAATTTTACATAAAATGATCAAATAGAGTATCCCAAATAATTCTTTAATTCATTAAGCAAATTCAAACTATAACCCATATGTTTTCTATCAAATTTAAGATTACTTTTCTGTTTACATAAAAACAAAATGTTGAGCTCATGCATTTGTGAAATATCAATGAAAAGAAGACATTTAATTTTTTGTAATATCTAGAACAAATCTATGGATTTGATCCTTCTATTTTTGGGGACGTACTCTTTTAAATCTCAAACTACATGCTGGAACAAAAATCTGTCACTGAATTTTAAAGGATGTGACTCATTTGTACATTTCAAGTTTACCTAGTAGGAGAATTTGAAGACATACCCTTACCCTGCCACTTCTTTCTGGAAGGGAGCCAGAGAAGGCACTCAGTGTTGTCTAGAGGATTCTTATGTAGTTAAGTTGTGCAGGTTGGTTTAATCAGTGCTCTCTGCTATCATACTCATAATAGGAATAAATTTTCTTCTCTTTTTCAAATAGGTAGAGAATGTCTTTTCATGCTTTCATGATGACTCTATCCATGCAGTAGCGAGAGGTGTATTACCTGGTTTTCATGAAGTCTACTGATACATTTGTCTAGTCTAATTTGTGGGAGGCAGGAAGATAAAAAAATTGTTCAAGATAAGCTTCATAGGTAAAACTCAGAATAAGAACCATAAATGTTACCTTCTAGTTCTTTGATTCCATGTCTAGATCACTCTTTAACCCAGAGGAATTTATTGTTTTAAATGTACACACTGTTTTACTACCAAAAATTATAAGACATGGGACAATAAAATTTTCAGTCATCAGTGCTTCTGTGTAGTATTTTGCCTGACTTTTTATCCCTCCCCGCCCTCCCTCCCCTCTTCTCTTTTATTCCTTCACTTTTTTCTTTCTGTCATTTAGGTCCCTCAAGACCCACTGAAGTTTTACAAGAAGATTTACTTTTGCCGCAGTTGCCAACTGTACCTGCCTTCTACAGAATTTGCTGTTACGTCTACTGCACGCCATATATTCAAGTGTCGTCAGTGTGTTAGCCTTGAGAATGAGGCGCAGCGACGAGAGTCATTTTTGAAATATAAATGTTTACTTCAGCGGCTCTACGCTTCAGAAGCCAATTATGATGACGGTGCTCAAATTGCTTTCTTGATGCAGGTATGATCAACAAGGGGTGCCATGACTAAAGTCTGTCTTTGAAGGAGATAAGGTGACATAAGGTGCAGTGGAGCTGAACATATGCTAGTATCAGAAATGCTACTTTTCATTTCCTAATGTGGACCATGATTGCATTCCTGACTTCTACGTGGAGGCATTTTCTTGGTATTTAAATACTATGCTGAGTTCTGGGTATGCACTAGTGAGTCAGACCTTATAGTCTAGAAGACAGACATTAAAATTATTATAAATTTCTGTAATGACAATAACAGTGCTAGAGGAGGAAGTGCCGAGGACTATAAGGTATTAAAAATGATACTACTATATTTTGGGGGCCAGCAAAGACTTCCTTGAGGATACGACCTAAAGATGAGACAAAAGAGTGAGGAAGAGTTAACCTGGTGCCCTTTATACACAAGCATCACAGGCCGAGGGAATGGTGGGCATGGAGACAAGGCAGAAGTGACGCTGCTCTGCTGCAGTGGAGGGGACATACAGTGTGGGAATCTGAGCTTTAGACTGGGGAGACAGAACACATTTAACGCTGTTAGAAACAACCAACCAACAAACCAGTAGGAAGGAAGAGACTGAAGCTCACAGGCAGCTCATTGGAGCCAGCATAGCACATTCTAGCTCTGCAGCATAACAGTTCTCTCTGTGGACATGTGATGTGCTAAAGTCATATGCACTTCAGTCTACCTGCCTGTGAAATGGGAATATCAATAAGATCTACTCACAGAGAAATTATATGAACATTAAATTATTGATTGCAGGACAGGATAGTGTCTTTATACTTTATTTAAATGACATGAACAAAGAATACAAGAGGATATGATCTAAAGCATGGTGTGTGGATTGGCCTTTGTTAAGATGAGGATACCCCCTCTATCGAAATAAAGGCGGATATATTCCATACTCTATAGTTTGCCTCCTGATGGTCTATTTCCATTTGTTGAGAGATGCTATGAAGGAGAGAATTATGGAATGTGTAGAATATTTATAGTGAAATTCCAGTCATTGCAGATAGGGGAGGAAGAACTGTGAAAAACCGAAGCAAAACTGAGTTAAGATGCACAGCCAGGACCTTTGCTGACTGGGTGAGACACTTCCCTGTCACTCAGACAAGCCCGGCACCCACAGTTTAAAGGAGGAAAAGCTCATTCTGGCTCAGGCTTTCAGTCAGTACTTGGCTGGGTCCAAGGCACAAAGAGCAAGGCGGAGCAGCAGGCGGAGCAGCAGGCGGAGGAGAGCTGTTCATGGGGCGTGGTCAGGAAGCAGATGGAGAGGAGCCAGGGATGAGCATGGAGCCTTTCAAGTCGTACCTCCTGTGACCTACCCCCCGCCCCCCTGCCCCCCCTCTGAACATGAGGTTTTGGGGGCACATTTTATATGAACTCTGTAAGAATGACAGTTAAGATGAGTGACATGACTTTACATGGTACCAGTCTGGTTAACTGCAAGATTTTCTTTAGCAAAGCATGTATAGGAAGAATATGGAGCATTGAAATCAGTAGTTACGTGTTTTACAAGAAAAACACAAGAAGCAAAGGAATGTTAGGGTACTGGTAAGATTGCAACAGAAAGGGCAGAATGTGTAATATAGGCTGTAAAAAGGAAGCTACAACCAGGAAAATGCTAATCAATGCAAAAACATAAATGGAACAATAAGCTGATAATTCCGATGAGGACGGGGAATTGTTGCCTCAGTGATAAATCATACAAGCTGCAGGAGACTGAACGCTATATTCATACTGAGACGTCTCAGTGGTAGAGTTCAGATGGGAGGAAGTTGCATGATGAGAAAAGCGGGCAGGGATTCTGAGAAAGGGGGCTGAAGGAGGAGGGGAGCGGGGGTTATTGAGAGTGGGTGTCGAGGATTTATGCGGAGGCTGGTCAGTGAGAGGAGTTCCACAGGACACCATGAAAGAGCTGGAGACAGGAAGGGAGAGAGGAATATGAACAGTTAGGTGAGTGGGAAGCTGCAGCTACAACCAGAAGTGGAGAAGTAGTGAACGACCTGTTTGGCTCAAGTAGAAGTCCTAAGAAATAGAGGCATGGTAGATACAGGTGGTTTATAGGATTGTTGAGATAAATCCTGAGAGTGGGCAGCTGTGTATGGGAGCTGAAGTTCTATTTCTATTGCTATGCGAGGAGTCCGAGGTGTAGACTAGGGAGCCTCATAACTGAAAATAAAGATGATGTCATGGTGTCACCGAGACCAAAGGTGCCACCCTAAACTTTCTGCCAGTCCTTTCTTGGCTCTTATAGATGGATAACAGTTCTGCAGTTCCTTTTGAAGTATCTTCTAGATACTAAAGAACAATAGAATGTCATTTCCACTGGTTTGTCTTCTGCCTCAAACTTGACAAGACTTCTGTCCAATGTTAAAATATAAAAGAAGTTTGAAATTTTCCCCGAGGGAGGAACGGGCACTGAGGAGTGGTCTGGTACCTGACCGCCTCACAGGGGAAGAGGAGATGGGGGTGGGCCCAGTTTCAGTCCTTTTTCTTTATGTTCCCTGAGCTGAAACTATGGGCACGAATAACATCCAATCACAAATTTCGCTTCTTTTAGAAAAAGATAAGGGTAAGATTTTTAAAACATTCTTTAGTGGAATATCATATTACTCCATGGGTATTTCTTAGTAGAAACATTAACATAGCAAAACCAGTAAAGCACATGTATGTTCCTTATAGAAGAGGGTAATCTTTTCTTATGCTATTGTGTGTATATTATCATTTGGGACAGGTGTTCAGTCTCCTGGTATTATTTATTCTATGTTCATCCAGAAGGAAAGAAAAATGGTAGTACATGCGATGTGCTTACATCTCCCCACCACAATATGATTACCAGAGGCTATTTTGGGAAAGTAGACTTGCTCTCCATGTAAACAATTTATTGATAAAAGCACCCCATAAAGAACTGTTGATCTCAATAATGATATCTGTGTTCACAGACTATCAAATAGGTCAAATTTTCTGTAATTGAAGATATTAATTAAAATAAACTAAATTGAATTTAATATTAAATGCAAAATAGGCAATACTATGAATAAAAAGCTTTAGGTGTTTAAAAAATAGTTTCCAAATATAATATGCTTTGTTAAAAAAGTCTCAAATCAATAGCTTTCAAATATTTTGATATGATCTATATTGTAATATGTGCTTTTATCAAAATTTAGCATAGGCATGAATGATAAGATTATTGATAACAATAACCAACAAACAGTATTTATATGGCTCTACACATTTTATGTGTTGATTCATCTAACACAGTAATCCTATGAAAATGGGAACTATTTTCATTCTGCAGATGAAGAAAGTTAAGCTCTGAGAGGTTAACTGACATTCCCAAATTTACACTAGTAAGTACCGTCACTGGGATTCAAACCTAGGCAGTCTAGTATTGCTTCAGAAACAAAATTTTCCCAAAATAATGTTTACCTTTATTAGTATAGATGCCCTCTGATATTTTCTATTCAATCCAAATCTACTCATTCTAATTTTCCTTTGAAGAACTTGGTATCATTCAAGATATAACAACCCACAGTTTGAAAACTATAAATCAGAAATGATTACATATCTTTCACAGGAATAAGCACTTTATTAATAAAGATGATTTATGTTATAGTTTAAATTTTTAAGTGCTTTTCTTCAAGAATTGTTAGTATAACAGATGAATATGTCCTTTGTGAGAATTGTAGATTGAGGCTTTAAAATAGCTCACCACTTCAATATTCAGTACTGCTTTAGGGCTGATTATCCTGAGGTTTTATGTCTGTGAGAAAGAGATTTATCATGAGGAATTGGCATGCATGATTTTGGAGCCCAACAACTCCTAGATCTGCAAAGCCAGTGCCTAGGTCTACCTGGAGACCAGCAGGCTTTGTCGAGAGAGGAAGGACAGATGTCTTAAGTCACAGCACGTTAGGCTTCAGAGTTCATCCTTCCTTGAGGGGAGAGTCAAGCTTCTATTGTATTCCACACTTCCCCAGTTAGATGAAGCCTACCCATGTGTGGAGGGTAATCCGGACTCACCAATTTAAATGTTAGTCTAATCCAAGGATACTTTTAGAAAAACACCCCGAATGTCATTTGGTTAAATACCTGGAAACCCTTAGCCCACTCAAGTTAACATGAAACTAATTATCACATATACCAAATGAAAGCATCCCAGGAAAGTTTTTGCCTTTCAGATAAGATTAGTCTCTGATCGTGTGCCTGTGTTGGATTTTGGCCCTCTTACCTTGCTTTTCTAATGTCCTAAATAAGCAGACAAATATGAGTACCCAATAGCTTTCTCCATAGTAATTGATATAATTTTGAATAATATATATTTCAGTAATATTATTGTCAGGCATAATTTAAATATTTGAACTTTCTCATGAAATAGGAAAGCTTATGAGCAATGGTAAAATCATACTGAATTTGAACATGATGGAATGTACAGTAAAAAGATGAAATCTAAAGTGTATAAAAAGTAAAAGTCAAGGTGGGTGTGGTGACACGTGCCTCTAATCCCAGCATTCAGGAGGCTGAGGCAGGAGTGTGTCATGAGTTTGAGGCTGGCCCAGGCTATACAGCAAGTTCAAGGCCAGCTTGAACAACATAGTGAGAGCTTGTGTCAAAAAAAGAAGTAAAAGCTCTCATACCCAGAGATTTTGAGTGTTTGAGTAGTCAGCTGGTTTACCTGAAACCCATACAGATACTACCGAATGAGCAGTACTATTTCTCATTATTGCAGCAATTTCAACTATAATGCTTTCTGCACTATAGAGCCGGTTTGTTACTAACTATACTGGTCAGGTTCACATTTGATATTTACATGCAAATAAATATCTCATACTCTTTGTAACATTCTTAAAATTATTATTACAATTGATGCAATTTACAACAGAGTATGAAGAAGATACACACTTTGAATATAAGTGAAAATACATGAAACATTACACTTTAATATAGACTATAGACTCTTTTGCACAGCAGGTGCTATAATACTGTATTTTCTTACATTAAGTAAAAACTAAATTGTGTTAGTTGAGTTTATGTTGAATTATTCATTTATGAGCACTGTAGTAGGTTACAGTGGCTAGTTTTTTTTCTTTTAAAGTTTGGTGAATTTAGATTTTATCTACTGATTTTATGGAAAACATTCCTGCTTTCTTACACAAACTTTTTAAAAATAATAATTCTGTTTTCAATGTTTATACTTTGTCAAGTGTGATCCTTTCTTACATTCTAAATTTACATACAAAAAACTCATGATAGAAAGTAATTCCAAGATGCCTTGGAGTGTAGCGCAGTGATACAGCACTTGCCTTAGTCTGTTTGAGGTCTTGGATTTGATCTGTTTTTGTTAATGCAATTTTTAAGTTTTTTTAAAAGTTGAAATGCCTATTTCACTTCCATATCTTCTGTTCATTAGAACAGCAAAATCTTATAGTTAACATTAAGTGATTTATTTCGTCTTTATTAAATCTCAGATTCTTCATTTGTAAAATGGCAGTAAATAGCTATAAAAAGACCTTATCATGGTCGTGAGAATAGTTGATTTTTTTAAATAATGATTTTTTTAAAAAGCATTTGGTGCCATATATTTATTAAGGTATTACTAAGACATAAGTAATTAGCACACCAGAAGGAATATGTTCAGCTCACTGGAGGTTAAGGATGGAGTCACGATGTGAGAGTAATAATGTAGTGAGGGCAAAATGGGCAGAAGCTTGAGGGCCGGGGATATAGCTCAGTGACACAAGCCCCTGCCTAGCAAGCACAAGGTCCTGAGTTTGATTCCCAGTACGAAAAAAATAAAAAGTTTGATAAAATATAAGGGCTACTGTATGCACTTAAACCTTATGAATGATGTTCATGAATGTAGTCAATATAATTTAATTATTTTCTCAAGTAATATAATTTTAAAACATTTTAATTTAGAATAAAAGAAAATTACTTTCAAACTTATTTTGCCTGCAGCTCCAAGACATTCAATACCTAATAGAGAACATCTGGGCACCGCAGTCTGCACTCAGTGCCTGGACCGACCTCAATGACCTGGTCATGGTCAGATGGGATAAGTCCGTGGAGTGGTCCCCTTGGAACTGCATTCTCCTCACCAAAGATGAAGCAGCTGCTCATCTCAAGCTAGAAAGTATTGAAAAGGTAGGAAGTTGAACTCTATTTGGGAAGTTAACTTAGTCACTGGAATTATTAGGTGTAGCTAGATTACCTTTGTAAATGCATTCCGTAAGTGATCTAAATGCATCCACTGGATTAAGAGATAGAATTTATGGGTTAACAGTAACAAAATCTGTGGCGAGTATGTATTGCAGAGATTGAAATGAAAAGGGAGAGAAGACATGTGAAAGGTTAAGAGATATGAATGTCTTAAGTATCTAAGTGGGACACCACACTTCTACAAATAGCAAGTTCAAGCCTGTTAATTCCACAGCGTGTTCCCTCAAGCCAAGGACCTGCTTCACTTCTTTGCATCTATAGTTCTGATATGTCCAATAGCGGCTACCATGAAGGAGAAGGTTAATATGTATTTTTTGAATAATCAATGAACATTTCCGCCTGATAGGCATTTGGGATCCGAAATCTGTGCTACTTTGATTAATCCTCATGAGTCTACCTAAAATCACTCAGTTGTCAAATGAATCTTTTTCATAATTTTGTGTGCTCCGTGGCAATCACACTGATGAGGCATCATTTTTCATTTGCTTCCAGCTAAGTAGGCGTGGAGAAAGCACTGAGAAAATTAAATGCCATTTAATTTCAGTAACTTACAAGACACAATCTGTAAAACATTTTGATGAACAAAATTGAAGGGTCTCTGAAGAATTTGTAGAGAACTCCATTTATTTTAAGCGTGCTTAGGATCCCAAGGACTGATATTAGTTCTCTGCGTTCAATTGATTAAGTTGCTGCGCCTTCAATTCCATGCACGATGCCAGGAAAATAAAGAAATGACATTATGTAGTAGTTATTTTGAATAGTAGTATTCCCTGCCTAGTGTTACATATTTTTAATATTTTTGGAGAAGGAGATATAAAGAGAAGAAACTAGTTAAATTTTTAGCTCTTTTTCAGTAATTTTTTTAGAGTTTTAAGAAGCCAAGCTAAAAGAAATTTCACTCTAGGGATTGAAAAAGGACAGCAAAAAAATTGAAGCTGTGTTAAATGTTATACTTAGTAAACTAAGCTGCCTCATAAATATTTAATCACTGGAAGCCAAGCCAGTTCCAGCAATATCATTTCATCTAGGACTCAATGAGATTGAAGTTCATTCCCAAAGCTGATATTCTAGAGCTTCTCCAATTAGTCTGTACAACTCCCTTTGTGCATTTAGTCAAATTATTGCAGTATCAAATTAAATGTCTGTTCACAGGCATTTCTAACTTCAAGATGCCAATCTCTCTGAATTTCTGTAAATGGAGCAAAGAAACAACCAAACTAACTAAAAAATTTTGCATTGTTTATGGTCTTGGCCTGGTGTACTTTTTAAATATTAATATGCAGTCCAGTTAAATAATATGTTAGACAGCAAATTAAAGTATTTCCAGAATTTCCTTAGTACACAAAGATAGTTGCTTTCCCATGAAGTAAAATATACTGGAAACCTACAATAATCTTGACTTCCTGGAATCTCACAAGTTATAAAAAGTCATTGAAGAAGATGTCTGCTCTGTGAACTCAGTGTGGGAGACCGATCTCTTATAGTGTGCACACTGGGCAAGGTAGAAACGACCACAGACAAAAAGTTAGCAGTCCTGACCCAGCTTTCACAACCTGCAGGGCATTACACCCTGCCCTCTTCGCTTCATCAAGTTTTTAGAAGATTAGCTAAAAATATGGAGTCAGTAACTTCACCGCTTCCATTATATCTATGTCCCACATATGCAAAAATGCTACAGATGGTTGATAGGTGTCTTTTCACTATTAGAACCTTGATCTTTGAAAAGCTATCCTGTAAACTTTATCTAAGTGTGTGTGTGTGTGTGTGTATGCTATTAAAATATGTTGTGTGTTAAATTAAGAAAAATCATTATGGTAAAAAACACATTGCCATTAATACCCCTCAAACTACTTCCCTCTCTCGTGGAGCCCGTGCTTAACCATCCCATCATTCTGGCTGCTTTCTAAAGTAGTTCTGGAAGTTCTTTTTCATAAATATCTTTACAAAGTGTGCTAAAAAATATGTAATTCTGCTGCCAATTGCCATCCAACAAAACAGCAGGCATTATAGTGTGTCTTCCTCCCCCTTAGTTCATAGGTCTTGCACTGTGCGTCTCCTGGCTCTTCCCAGATCAAAATGACATGAAAGGTAAACAGTTTTCATTGACTTGGGATGTTAAGGCAGCAACAGTAGTACAATCAGACATGAAAGTGGACCTTGAGTACAGCTTCAGAAAGTAGCAAGCATGACAGAATAAGTGTGTCAGAGTAGTGAAGATATTTTGAGGGGACTTAATGGCAAGTGTTTTTTGTTACAATAAAATTTTCAAGTTTTTTTATGTAAACATACAACATATTTTCTGATCACACCTCATATATACATATATTTATGGAAACTTCTTACCAGTTACTTGATCACCCCCAGCTCAAATGCAGGCTGGGAAGCTGGGTACATCCTACCCTGTACAAAACCAAAACTATGAATACAGATGGAATTAAGAATGAATATGTATCAGATTGGTAACTACCAGTGGTTTTGATTGAGATGGGTTGGGAGAAGGCTTCCGGGTTGAAGCATCATAGGAATTGAGCCCTAAAAGACAATACACAAAGTGAGAAAAAAATGCATTCTGGGCTGAATGAACTGATAAGCAAAAGCACTGCAATATGACAGTCTTTGCCCAGCAAAATATATTTGTGACTTTTAATTAGGATTTGATTTTCTTTTCTTTGCAGGGATATGGACGTGTATTTATTCACAGAATCAAACATAAACATATTCTGGCTAAGAACTACTTCTCTCAGATTCCAGTGCTGGCGTCATTTATACTTGATGATGGTGAAATAGAAGAGATCAGAAGTAAATATCACGTAGACACAGCACCAAAAATTATAGAAGTCCGGAGACCTTGTCCTTAGAGGATCCAGAAATATTTGCTTGATGATAAGAAGTTTTTCCCGCTGCTAGTAGAGTAATACAGAGGTCACATCATATGGAAATGAAATTTTTCTTTTTTTTTTATAGTATTATAAGTTATATGAAAACATCTCTATATGGTTATCTGATTGCTAGGCAGGCAGTGTTAAACTGAATTGGAATATTGTTACTGAAATTAATAGCTAAAAGTAAAGAGAACATTTTATTTTTTCATATTTTCCTCATTAAAGTATTTTGAACATTTAAATCTTTATGATTAAAACAGAGTAACCAAAAAAAACCAGGCCCAACTTTCAATACAATTAATCTATTTAAAATAAAATATAATTATAGGAGTATAATTAGTATATGAATGGGAAAAAATATAGAATTCTCTCTTGAAAAATCTTTGTGTGTAAGTTTTTTTAGTACACAGATTTGAATCTTTGCCTTTTATTCTCTGCTTGCACCTTCTGCCCTGTTCATATATCAATAAAACAACTGAAACTATAAAAACCCACAAAAATCTGCTATTTTCACACCTCATACATTTACATACATATATTTATGAAAACTTCTTACCAGTTACATGATCACTCCCAGATCAAATGCAGGCTAGAAAGCTGGGTACATCAGACCTTGTACAAAACCAAACCTATGAATACAGATGGAAGTAAGAATGAATATGCCAGGAAGCAAGGTAAACTGTGGAAATCTTGTCCCATGAGGTGCAGGAGCCCCCCGCCCCCCAGGGGCAATGTTGAAACTGCAGGAAGAATAAACTTGATCAGCAAGCCAAAGGAATAACCTGGACTGTGTATCTACCAGGGACCTGTGATGGCGAACAATGGTCCATCAGTCACTCTTAACAGAAAAGAGGTGGCACACTCAAATAGCATAATTCAAGACGGTTTTAAATACCAAAGGGCCTATTTTAAGATGTGGACAGTATGTAAGCTCAAGGAATAGCACAGGAACTCAGAGGCAGCTATCACATTTGCTGTGTCCACCTCTAGTCTTAAATGAACTTGGGAAGAGACAAGTCTGACACCCCAGAAAGAGGATAAAGAAGATAATTGTGATCAGTGACTGGCTGTCAAGGGAACAGCCAATCGTGGTGAAACAGAAAAAACAAATACCCAATTTCATCTGTCTTCCTTCTTCCAGTCTCCTACTTGGGCTTCCCATTGGCAGAACCCAAAGAGAAAGCAGAGGGAGAAGTCATAATTCATACAGCTTCAGGGCAAAGAGCAGAGTAGAAAGAAGGGGCAGTAGATCTGAAGGGCTAGAGAGTAGCTAGTCAAGGAAAGAATGAAAAATACAAATCTATAATTGACATAATGGTACTCCACTCACAACATAATCATAGAAAGACGTATAATGATCCCCCTTTTAATTCTCATCAGTAATTAGTGAGGCTTCCCTTTCAAGTTTAGTGACCAAAAACTTGAAACTAAATATTTGTTCTATGTAAATATTGCACAACATTTTAGCAGCACATTTTCGAGGATATCTGCAGGTTTTCTCTCCATAACAAAAGTACAGCCCCTGGCAATTGTTCAAGATCTAAACATCCAGGAAGAAAGTGTTATGAGGCTGTTATTTTCATAGACAATCCAGACAGTCTGGAATCTTCCCAAACAACAAATTACAGGTGGAACCAGAATAGGGACTATTTTCACCAGTGGTGAAAGGGTAACAATTTGACACATACATGCGGGTTTACACTAGATGTAAAATAACAGATTTTCACAGTAAAGTTCAGGAGAGTGTGATAGCTCCAAGAAAGAAGGGCTGGAAAGATAGTGAGTTTGTGTGTATATCGTGGGGGGGTGCCAGATAGGGGCAAATAAAGGATTTTAAGAAATCCCGTTAACCCACAGGTAAACAGCTCACTACAGCATTTACTCATAGGAATAAAAGATTTGTGGAATAAAACTAAGAAATGAATAGGAAATTTGAAGTTTGACAGAAAGATAAAATTCGGGATTTTTATTACCTGGCTTTCCTTTTATGTTTCTTGATTGGTTATCAATGGCAGTGTTTCTCAGCCTGGGACCACAGAACTAGTTGTGTGGTCATCTCTGACACTACAACTTTGTATTCTGGAAATCATCCTTTTTCCTCCTTAAGCTTATAAGATGCCTTTGCTTCTTGTTGATTTTCTTAAGTCATATTCTCTTCTTTATAAACAGACTTTTTATTAAATACTTCTCAAAGTAGGCAGTTTGAGTGTACCAAGAAGTTCCTGCTGGAACTAAGTAGAAGCAGTAATTGGTCCCAGAAATCGTGCCAGGAAACCGACCTGAAAATGGAATCCTACACATGGATTGCTCACATATTTGAAAAGTATATGGATAACATCTTTGCCAGGGGGAGATAATAATTGAGAAAGCCTTTATGTTTGTTTTTGTTTGTTCATTTTTGTTTTTTTCTGGCACCGGGAATCGAACTCATGACCTTGCACTTGCCAGGCAGGCGCTGTGCTGCTGAGCTAAATCCCCAGCCCCGAGAAAGCCTTAATGATAACTATAAAAAATTCCTTATCGCCTGTGTATGCAGGGAAGAGATAGCTGAGGATTAAATCTAGAGCTTAATTGTAAAATTTTCGGGACTGTGTTGAACTAAACTTGTGCTTCTTTTAGATTTCAGGCTAATATAAAGGCACCTGTAAGGAAGAAGAAGGGGTGATCTGGTCTGAGTTAATCTGTGTGCTGGAAAAACACTCTAAGGGTATTAGACTAAAGACAGCGAAGTGAATAACTATATTCATCCAGATTTATGTTATTGCCTAGAATTCAGGATTTAACATGCTCGAAGTCTGGAAATTTGTTGGATATATACACTGAAGACTAGACTCGGAGTGGCAATACCAGTGAGCTTGAAGTGCTACAGTGTAGAACAGCAATGCCTCAGGAAGCTGGGGTGGATCTATCATGTGCAGCCTTCTCTGACACTTCCTATGACATTTATAGTAAGATGCAGAGATTAAGAAGTGCCTCGGTGACCCTTGAGGAGCTCTATGCAGCCTGTCCCTATAGTCCTGACACGACAATATGTGCACGGAGACAGAGTTTGATAACCTGGTGTAGTGGGAATGATATGGTCTCACATGCTCGAAGCCAGGGTTGGAGCTTACCTATCAGACAAACCTGTGAGAGGATTTATAAGAAGCCCTAGGGAAAAAAACAACAAAACACAAGTGTTGGTGAAGGTTGCAGATAACTGAAACTTTTGTCCCTTGTTAGTGGAAATGCAAAGTGGTGCAACTGTTGTGTAAAATAGTATGAAGATCTCTCAAAATATGAAAGTAAAACTACCACATGATCCAATAGTCCCATTTCTAAGTATCCAAAAGTACTGAAATTAAGATCTAACACAGATATCCGCACCTCCATGTTCAGGGAAGCAATGTTGACAATTGCAAATTAAAAGAACAGCTGAATGTTCATAGTGAATAGATTAAAAAGATAGTGAATAGATTAAAAAGTCCTGTATATATGCAATGGAATGTTATTCAACCTTCAAAAAGGAAATCCTACAATATCTGACAATATGGATAAAACTTGAAGACATTATGCTACACAAAATAAGCCAGTCAGAAATGTCAAAGACTACATGATTCCGTTTCTAAGAGGTGTCTAATATAGTCAAATACAAGGAATTGTGGTTGCCACAGGCTATGGTGTGAAAGGTAATTGAAGTTGCTAATCAGTGGGTATAAAGTTTCATTTATGCAAGATGAATGAGCGCTAGGAATTTGCTGTACAATGCTGTGCTTATAAATGACAGTGATGTTTTGTACACTAAAAATATGTTGAGGGGACATCAAGCACACTTACCACAATGTTAAGAAACCCTGAGGCAGAATTGAATGACCCTGTAGGGATCTGTAACAATTATAAATGATCATTCATAACAGTGATAATCAAATATTCAGGCATGAAATACATAGATGTACTAGTTTCCTGGAGCCATAAACTTAGTGCCCTAAAACAACAGAAATGTATTTTCCCATAGCTGTGCAGGGCAGAAGTGCAAAACTCACTTGTCTCTAATGCCTTCTGGTGGCTTTACGTACTCCTTGGCTTCCTGGGCTGTGTGACTCCAGCCCATTTCTCTGGTTATATTACTTCCCTCTTTCCTAGGGTCTGCCCTGGACAGCAATTCACTGCCTGCCAGCCCTCACAGCAAACTTCTTTGCTGCATCTAGACCCTCTACAGTAAGGTCTGAATTTCAACCTCAAGTGGGGCATCCTTCTAAAGTATATTCCCTTTAGTTGATCTTCTTCTACCATAGAGATAGTGGGGGCGCGCCCTACATCCATTGTTCTTGTACTTTTTAGAGTTCTGTTCACAGTGACTCATCTCTTGTTACTTGTTGAGAATTCTTTACATAAAATTTCTCTATTTCAATTATAATGCTGTCTTCTGACTGGACATTGACTGAGACAGCCAGGAATACCCAGGTTTTCACTACAGCCAGAAACACTTTGTTGCACTCCGTGTGACATACCATAAAAGCTCCATGCTGATCTGGCTCCTTGGATTCTGGAGGCAGATAGGTCCCATGCAGGGATTGTGCTCTCACCTGTTAACCAGTAAACTTGCAACTGCTAGCTTCAAGTGAGATAAAAGCACTACAGCCATTCAAGTTTTCCTTCTACCGGGGCCCATGTCTCAATATAGGCGATACGAATGGTCACATCTGCCAAATGGAGCGGGGTGCTGTGTGGAGCCTTTGACAGCCCCACCAGACAATGACAAAGTCAGTATCAGGGGCACTGCAGCAAGGCTTGCCCTCTCCTGTCAAGTCTTCTCACTATCCTCATCTTTTGTTGGGTCATAGCAGAAGCGATCACCTAATCATGAGTTTTTAAGCGGCTGTGCAAAATGCTCATAGCAAGCTGTATGTTATCAGATACACTCATCATAAAGTTGACTGCACAGCGTCATTTCATTGTAATATGGAAATGGGAGATGACAGGGAACCAGATACTTATAAATATGGACAGATGACAATTCCAGCAGACCTGAGTTCCATGCAAACCACATAAAGTAAATAGCTTAGACTTTCCTGGGCTGTGTTCCTTCTCCTTTCCCCTTTTCTTGTGTACCCCTCAACTAACAGCTGTGGCTTCATCGAGATCCCTATGCCTACTTAAATGAGATTTTGAGAAGTGACCTGGTTTGGAGAAGGAGCTGTACAGTCTGTTGGTGGGTGGTCTGGCTTGGGGCTGAGTCTCATCTCTGCTCAGCACTGTGCTACAGTTCAGTTTAGGGTGGTCGTGGAAGACAGATAAAGAGGTGAAGGGAATTCTGACAGAGGCAGGACTTTAGGTGGTATATATGATTGCATCTTTCTTGGAATGGGAGTTGGCTGGTTTTATAAATCTATAAATCCATAGTAGTGCCTGAAAAAGTTGATCAACCGGCCAGAGATGTAGAAAAAGAAATTGGTAGAGAATCCAGGAGGAAGGACAGATATGATGTGTGTGTCCAAGGGGGCATTCACT